GTCATCTCATCCTTTCCTTCGTTTGCGTGCACATTGGTCCCGGCCTTAGTGTGTACGCGCACTTTTACATACCTTTAAACACAGGTTTCAGGTCGCCCAGGTCTTTACAATGAGGTGGGCTTCATCGGGTGTCCCTGTGCACTTGGTTCCTTTCTCATTTCAACCACACGCACCTTTGTCCCGTCTCGTCCTCCTGTCATGTCTTCATTCTTTTGTCTTGCGCGCGCGCACGCACACATTGTGTGTGTGTGCCCCTTGTAGTCACAGGGATTCTTTTGAATTTTATCAGCTCCGTTTGCATTTCCATAAGCGTAACCCTTGTAGTCACAGGGCTTCTTTTCAAGTTTGATGGATGACACTCACAAATCTTGAAATGTACCATGTTGCTGCAGTTTAAAGGAATGACGCGCACAAATCTTGATGTGTTTCATGATGTTGCAGTGCAACCTTTGGAGTCACAATCCGTTTTTTGATTTTGTTGTGTGTTGTTTTGCTGCCTTGTGTCTTGTGGGCCCTCTAACCTATTGCGCAGGCCTCCAACCTTGTCGCTATGGCCTCTTTCTATTTGTGGTGCCCTTCTAGTAGTTGACACGCCGGTTGCCCTTAGGGCCGGCGCGTCCACTCTGCCTGACTGGATGCTTTCCTATCCAGTCAGCAGAGTTGGGGTGGGCATAGATGCTTGCTGCTGCTTGCTGTTGCTTGCTGTACCCTCGGTACTTGGGCCTCCAAACTTAGGTGCTGGCCTCCAAATTCTAGCGATGGCCTCTAATTTAACTTTAACTTACCTCGTTTCCTAAGGTTTTTACTTAGGCCGGCGTGTGGCACCGCTATCAATTCCGTATGCATATCCATAAGTGTGTACCCCTTGGAGTCACACGGATCCTTTCGGAATTGTTTTGGCTTTCGTTTTTCATACAGCAGGGGGACCATCCATGCGCTGTGAGCGATGGTCCAACGAAGCGGCCACAGTACATGCGGGTATCACGGCTGATCACTGTGACGTACCTGCTGATTAATAATGATTCAGTGCTTCAGGTAAAGGGGCTAATGCACTCTCCAGGTGTTTAGGTCTTTAGGTAGGCCTCCAAACTTGTAACGAGGGCCTTTCTACCTGGATGCGACGGCCTCCAACTACTAGCAATGGCCTCTAACCCTGGCTGTCTTGTGCGTCGTGTGTTTCTTGTGTTTTTTGTCACCAACCTACTAGTGATGGCCCCTCAACCTGCCTTCGACGGCCTCCAACCTAAGAGCGTGGACCTCCAACTTACTTGTCTCATTTTACAGGCACTTTTTTCACCTAGGTTTCCGTGCGGCGTGGGGCATGCCGATCAGTATGCGTGTCAATAAGTGTGTCTGACCTTCGAGTCAGGTCAGGGTGACCCTGACGAGTGGCCCCGTGGATCCGTTGAACGGGCTTTGTCGAACGTATCCCCTGCCTGCGTACAGAGCAGCTCGCAGCGAGCGTAGGTGGCTTACGCCAAAGTCATTTGCCAAGATTTGACGAATTACTAGACGCATTCGGGCATGCCTTTAGGTGACCACAGCGGTCAGAGCAGCCAGCCATTTTGGCACGGCGTATGTGGCCGCAGCGGCCGAAGTCACTCAAGGCTCACACACAGCGTAGACATTTAAACGAGGCGAGGTCTGCCTAGGTGTTTCTAATGAGGTTTGGCTTCATCGGTTCTCGTCCCCTCCATTTGGTCCCCTCTTCATCCTTTTCCCCTTCACATACATCACACATCTGTTTTCTTCCTTTCTTTCATGTCCTCCGTCTTCATGTCTTGGCATTTTGTTCTTTCTTTCTTTCTTTTGCGCACATTGGCTCGGCCCTTAGTGTGTACGTTCACATCTACATATACTTTGTTTAAACTCAGGTTTTAGGTCGCCCAGGTTTTATAATTAGGGGGGTTCTAGGTTCCTCTTCATCGCAACCACGTACACCTTTGTCCTGTCTTGTCCTCTTTTCATGTATTCATCTTTTGTCCGTGTTGCGCACGCGCGCGCGTGCACATTCGCCTTACCCTTAGTTTTTCGCCTCCCCTCGGGGAGGTGTGTGTGTACCCCTTGGAGTCACACGGATCCTTGCGGAATTGTTTTGGTTTTCATTTTTTATACAGCAGGGGGACCATCCATGTGCTGTGAGCGATGGTCCAACGAAGCGGCCACAGTACATGCGGATATCACGGCTGATCACTGTGACGTACCTGCTTATTAATAATGATTCAAGTTTTCCCGAAAGCACCTGCGAAGGGTTTCTTCCAAAGGACATCTGCTCACATCATCTTCCAATATACTCTGTATCATCATCGCATCATCATCATCATCATCGTCGTCGTCATCATCATCATACATCAGACATCATACATCATACACCACGACATAACATGTGGGCTTTGCAGATGTGGGTTTTGCAGGTGTAGAGATGTAGGTGTTGAAAGGTAGGTTTTGAAGATGTGGGTTTTGCAGGTGTAGAGATACAGGTGTAGATATGTAGGTGTAAAAACACCTATGCGCGTCGAGTGCTGAAACGTGTGGTGAAATGCGAATTTTGAGTGGGCGCGGGTGACCCCCTGCGAGGATCGTGCGTCTCGAGTGCTCAAACGTGTGGTGAAATGCGAATTCGGTTGGTGCGCGGGGGACCCTGCTGCGATCACCTTCCACATAGAAGCAAGATATATTAATTTCTAGCATCGTCGTGCGTGTCGACGCGTGACTTTTGGAAGAAGTCGCGCGTTATGGAGACTTGGAGGAAGTCTCGTACGAAACGCTCCTTTTGGAGACTTGGCGCTT